TGATCCGGGTTGCGTATATATCATGTCCGGGCATCGTAATATTTATGGCGTTTCCGGCGAAACGGCGGAGCTCTAAGCTAATGAACATCTTACATCCCACTTCAACACGCCGGCCTGCATTTGTAAATGGTTTAACGATGCGACGGAAACGCACAAAAGGGCCGGATCCTTTGGATTCATGCGTCCATAAAGAAGTCGCATGCAACAACATCAGGGGTAGAATTCAATTGGCTGATTGAGATGTTTGCATTCGGACCTAGACCAGAGCATAGACCAGAGACCACAGGAATAGCGCACTCGGGGTCGGAACAAATTGCGGATGCGCCGGGTGCTGCTCCAGTAATGGAGTTATATTTCCTCCTCAACGACGTTTGATTAGAACGCTAGCGAGTTACAATTTCCATTAATGAATTCATTCAGATGAAATACATGCTAGGCGATTTAATTTGAGGTCGAACCGTACAACACGGACCCAGTTTATCCGAAATATATTCATTCACAGTTTGCTTAATTCATTCACTCATGTCCATTTCATTATTCCAAATTTGATTAACCAGTGACGATTTAAGTTAGTTTATTTGTCTATTTTTTTCATAAGAAATATACTTCCTGCAGGATAATTCGGCGTTATAGGATAACCACACCACATACATTCCTAATATGACAGATATTTCAGTTCACGCACTGTGAGAATACACAGCTCGGATGGGTCCAGAATATCAATACTCTGAACCCTCTCGCTTTCAATTACTAGCTTTTGCTTTTGTTTTTCATCGATTGTTTCTTTTTTTGTTTGCTTCCTCCGGATGTAAAGTGCACGTGGCGTGGAACATAAACACCCGTTGCGTGCCATTCCTCCTTCTCCTTCTCTCTCTCTCTCTTTCTACCCAGTAAAATCCATCCGCTACAATTTCATATTTCTAACTATATTAAACCTTGGAATAAATCATTATTTTTCATACAAATTCCATCTATTTTTTATACATTTTGCAACAAAATTAAATATCCAGAACAAACAAACATTTCTACAAACTTCTTCTTAAAAAATTACAAACATTTTCAATAAAATCAAATACAATGAATTTCTTATCCAAAACTTTCAAATACTCTAAAAATTTCTTTAAATTCCTGAATTCATTATATAAATACACAACATATTATATTGCTTTATTTTTCTGTAAAAGAGTTCTTTGGAGTTGAAATATTGGAAGACCTGTGATCACGTTCTTTTAATGATGGCTGCTCACTTGCATATTACGAACTGTGCGAAACAAATTATTTTCACCGTGCGGACACTAATTAAGCGCCTGCAAATGAAACATTCAAGGAAAACATGTAACTACACCGTCGGGATTTTGCATAAAACGAAAACTAATTTTGAAATAAATAAATAAAAAAAACGTGTACGAATAAGCATATATTTTAATATATAGAAAAAAAATACGCGAGTAAATCTGTTTGCATTATTTCCAACTTACTTTACTATTTTTAATTGCGAACGTGTACTCTCTGAGCTTTGCACTTTAATTAAAAGCTGCGTGCATATTTATTTTTTTGCACGTGTTAATCCACTTTGGATGTGCTCTGTGTGTCTTTCGCCTTGCTCGATTGATAGTTAGCTTCATGTACATTCATTGTTCTCTCTCCTCGTCGTCTCCTTTATCCTCACATCGTCTCTTGTGCTAGGAACTTTTTTCCCTACAGTAATTAGCTTATGTAAATCGAATGGGGAAACTAAGTGCTCTGGAGGTGGAATATTTCCGTAAGAAAGCCAGAGTCGCTACTTGCTTGCCGCCCCCGCCAAGATACCCACACCGCCCTCTCCTAATTGCCGGCGGCAAATTTTAATTATGCCGTCCTGCGGGGCCAGGACGAAAATAGAAGGAGAAAAGAATGAAGTTAAAGAAGGATAGCGGAACGCAAATAAAAGTAGGAAAAAAAAAGAAAGAAGGAACATTGTAATGCGAAATGCTTTAATTAAATGTTATTTGCAAATCGCCCACGATTTCAGCGATAATGTGAATTTAATTACGACTCAAAATATAATAGGTTTATGATCTTATAAATGAATTTGTTTCACCAAAAACTCAATTTATATCGTTCCGTGCAATTACACTAAAACTTCTTTCGTGTCATTAATTTATATTTTGCTGCTTAAAAACAATTGTTTTGTAAAAAATTGCTTAAAATAATTATATTTGATTGTTGCAAAGACGGGGTTAGATTTTTTTTTTGTTTGTCTTTTGTTTAAAAAATATTTTGCTGGATGCGGGATAATCCGTCAGAATAATATAATATCGGGGGCAGTGGAACCAAAGTGGAATTTATGTGGGTGCTGGAAGCTGGGTCGCGTATGATGATAAACTCGACGTCCGTAATGGTAGGTAAATTTTCCAGCCTCGTGAAAACCCTACCAACCCGAGGGTGAATTTATTTGCCTCCCCTGCCAAATGCAATACCCACCCAACACCCTTTAACCGAACGCCTGCGCCATCTCCACCACCGTAACAATTGTTCATCTTGTTGTTTCCGATTAGGGTTGCTTAGTCACAACATTATTTTTTTTTGATTCTCGGGACACGAGAGAACAACTTTTGAACGCATTCCCGGGAATTCTCGGGATTTAAGAAATTTATTTATTTATTTTACATTGCACGAAATACAAAAATAAACTATATATTTATTAACTTGTGTGTAAATCTATTAATTGTATAGCAAAAAGGAAAATGTACTTTCTGGGTATTGAGACTATATATTTTACCAAAATTCCCGGGAAATTCGGTAATCCTATTCCTGATGTTATTAACAATTCTTGTTTATGTTAAATTTGTTCGAAATCTTAATGCACGTTCCGATTAGACGCTGTGTAAATCCCGTTCGTTATATAAGTGGCATAAAATTGACCTGGGAACGTTGCATATGGAGTAGCGTTTAATTACCTTATGAATATTACAATTTTTCTTATCAATAATTACACCCCATGCCACATGTGAAACGAGAAATCCACAATGCGGCCGGCAAACAATAAATTATAAACATATTACCCCGCAATTAGCATTCGCAATAAACAAGTAATGACTATTTTATTTTCAACCACTTCGCAAACCTCTTGTTACATTTTCTTTTATTTCATTATTTTCACACATTTCTTCAACACTTATTTAGAACTATGATGATGCTACAAATACTCACTTTTTAATTGATTATAATCATTATAATGATTTATCTATTATCATAATGTAAGTTTTAGAAAATTAATTATAATAAAATACTATAATATTATATATTTATGAGGATTTTCTTCATTTCCAAATAAATAATTCACCTCGCTCCTCCGTCTAACAAAATTCTTTCAGCGCGTTTTATGTACGTTGCGCACGTCTTTCGCTGAAAAGAAGAACAACAAAACAACAACATACGCAACGCATTAATATATTAGCACGATACACGACACCTCCCCATTATTGATTCCGTGTACGTTACATAATTAGCGAGTGCAGCGGAATGCGTCAGGAATTTAAAAAAAATATATACATTTCAAATTTTCGAATTTGAAACAAGATCTCTCTACAATTATCATAAAATGATATTATTTCCGTTATAGATCATCAGAAATTACTGCAGTGGTACTATCATCTATTCTGTGCGAAATCACACCTGTAATATGTATGATTCCGACGGTGTTAAAGCCCCACTGAATATTTATAGCAAATATAAATGCGACAACGGAAATTGGGAAGAATTCGAGTCGTGGAATAACACAGACCCGGAACTAATTCCAATGTAAATTAAATATGTTAAATTTTCATTTTGCGCCGGAAACTCTGTCTGTCTCTCTCTCTCTTTTCATCCTTTCATTTTTCGTTTGCTTATTACCCTAATAGCCGATGGAATTGGGTTGCAAAGTTTCGTTTTTATTTCTCTTTTTTTTCTTTCTGTTATGTGTGTTTCTAGCAAACCTTTGACGCTGTGATCTTTTTATACCACTTTCCTGGCGCGTGAAAAGGAGGGCGAGAAACGGGAGTTTTGTATAAAGCATAAGGAATCTGCGCTGAATCCACATATTTGATTATTGCAAGCACTCTGGGAAATTGCGTTTCCGCCGTGCAAATGAACGACAATGGGACGTGATTTCAATTCTGGTCAATTTTTGGTCCACCTTTCAAATGATTTTTTTTAACGGTCCGAGAACCATAAAACTACCACCCACGTCCCCAATTACTGTATCGGGGAAAGCTCTGGAACCAAACATAAATTGCCTTCCCCTTTTTCGACCACGTTCAACGGAAATGTACCATTTCACGCACGTTCCATTCCTGTAACAAAACAAATTTTAACGCATTTTCATCCTGATTTTTCCTCAAAATCGTACATGTGGTATAAATATCTATGTTTATATATATATATTAGTTATGGAGACGGCTATCGTTCTTTTACTGGCGACAGTAGAAAACTGGGCAACTCTCCAACATCTTATGGCCAAACCTCTACCATTACAGACTGTATATTTATTTATATATATACACCCATACTCACTACACATTCACTACATACGAGATATAAGCCAACAGTTTTATCACCACTTTACCAATTTTTTTCACAGTCATCCCCCTCGATCTAATTAAAATCAGTGCTTTTGATTTTCTTCTCAGCTCAAAGCTTGCGAGTTTCCGAACAAATCGGATTACTTATATCTACTACGTAACTTCTAAAATTGCATACATCGCCTGCTCATAGAATTACATAACATCGTTTGTGAAATGGAACCTTTTATACAGTTTTTTAATTAATCTACACTTTATAAAAAGTTTTTTTAAAGCCATATTACATTATCAATATTTTGCCTTAATTGGAAAGTCGTTATACCACTGCAATATTCGATTACAGTTTTTTTTTTAATATTAAATTTTCAGTGTATACGTTATATCACTGAAATTAATTGATCTGCACAATAAATTTGAACTATTGACGAATCTAATGTTTTTTTTTGTTTGTTTCAGAGCATCATCACATCTTTGTCGGCGATCTGAGTCCTGAAATCGAGACGATGCAGCTGAAAGAGGCTTTCCTCGCTTTCGGTGAAATTTCGTAAGTCCTCAACGTTGAGACACATTAATGAAACGAGCGATGAGAATTCCGCATTGCGAAAATGTACATGATGATGAATTCGGAATGAAGCACTTCCATCGTTAGAATTAAATATATTTTCAGGAATTCTATCGCGTACAAAACGACTTCACGGTCAGCAAACTCGCGAAATTTATTGCGATCTTCAAATTCCCATCAATTGTTCAACCCCTCTCCCCCACACAGCACAATACAAATTAACGCAAATATTCGTGTCCTTTGTGCAACTCCTACTCTCTTGTGTTTGTGCGTTTGTATTTTTCCGTTTGCCCTCGCAAACACAAGGGCTTTTTTTTTCTGTTGCAATTCACAATTGATCTTTTATTAACATCGGAGCGTGTTATTATTCTCTCTTTATGTTTTCACAGTTGCACACACGCTCACACGAAGCTCAAAATATGCCGTTGAATGTGAATCGCGTTCTTTACATTTTCATTTTCGTGCTGCGATTGAGATCAGTCCGTTCTATGCAAACACAATCGAACAAGGGAATCAATTTGCGCAAAACCGCGCCGACGTAATTAATAATCATTAAACAAACATTATCGACGGGTAGGGGGAATGGGCGAAGAGGGTGAGGGCAATAGGTTTTATGAAAATCAGAAATAATTAGTATAGCGCCGCTCCCAATAATTCGCGCACAAAGCTCGCCAGAATTCCGCGCATTACGAAGCATCCGAATCATTGCGTATTCCGATCAAATCCAATTGATTTCACGCGCATTACACATCTATTTCGATATTAACAACAAAAGCAACAACTGCAAATTATTACAAAAGCCACCACTTGAATTCGCGCCGTGTAATGCAATAATCGACGCCGTCGAAAATTTCAGGATTATATGAAGTTTCCAACCCTCCGTTCGCCCTAACTGACCCTTTCATTTACTTTGGAACTGTTGCCGTTAACCCTTTGCGGTCGAGATATGCCGAGGGCATTCAAGTCAGAGTAGATGGAAGTTTCACTAGAAGACACAGTTACACGCATTACTTTATACAACTTACTTTATCCTCCAGAATTCCCATAAGAAAATACACTTTTACAATATACATATCTTATTATTAGGACACGAGGCAAATGATTATTTCCGACATTTCTGAACGCCCAAATAACTCGTAATTGATGCGGTTGTGCAGTTGAAGTTCCCAATAATAGTTACTATTTTTGAATATCTAAAATTAAAATCAATTCATGTGTCTATTGCAAACAAAACATGGATTACATTTCTAAATTGATCAAATTAATTATCTTGAATCCACGTGCGTCACTTCACTAGAGCTGTCAGTTGCGTAAAGATGGATGGAATAAAACAGAGAAACAAGCGAAATTAGAGAAGCAAAACAGATGTATAATAAAGTGAAGCTACTGGAGATGGCTTTGAGGTTTTTGGATTGGGGATAGAATGGAATGCATGGGTGTTTGTATACACATTTTTGGTCATTAGTTGTAATGAGCCGGACCCTACAGCCAAGTATGTACATTTGCATAAGACGTGGATTTAGCGTGAATATTCATGGCCGGGTCGGAGTGGAGTGGAGTGGAGGGTCGTAAAACCCGAAAGGGTTGCTTGCTGCACCTAACATGTAATTTACGTATTATGATAAAAATTATATAATTCATTATGTTAAATATGAATTGATGAATACTGAATTGATTTGATAACAGTTATCAGAATCAATTGATTTTAATATTACATATAACACTTAACACGTACTGCAACGATTACCGAAATTGTATACATGACACATTAGCACGTGTTTACCAGGAAATTATTGGCGAGTACTAATGGCTTAACTAAAACGTGTGCCGCTGGTAACAATTACATCTGCTTCACGACCAAAATATACTTGATCGAAGGGATGCGGTTTGAACATGAATGCGAAGTGCGATTTATGTAAGTGGCATAATGATGCTGTCAGCTCTGGCTCTTTCGTAGGGATTTGGGCAGTCGGGTCACAGTTCATAGCTTGACCTCTCAGAGTCTAGGTCTTATCGTCAACAACTGTCGGAAATCTTCTCATGAACCGTCCGACCCTGCGTATAATTACAAATCGCACTAATATTCATCATCATATAATATTTCAAATCTATTCACTCAATAAACATTTTTCTTACAGTTGTTAAAATGGAAGATTTCTCAAATAAATATTTGTTATAAAAACTCTTTTCATTCTTAATGTTTCCAAGATTGAAGTTTTAATTTATTTTCAAATCAAAGTTGATTGAGATGTCAAATTATAAATATTTATTGTAACCAAATTGGTGTTTTTTTTTATAAGGATTTTCTTCCCTCGTTGAATAAAGAATAAAATAAATTGTGGTAGAAATTTCGGAGGTGGTGGTTGGGCGAGTACAAGCAACGACATTGTTAATGTGATATATGAATCTATTGATTACGTGTCGATGCGATTTAGTGGCGAAGCCACTTTGCATACTGAAAAGCCATAGTAAAGTGGAAGTGAACTTATGGCGGAGCAGGGGTGGTGCCCCGTGGGGTGGTTTGGTGGACAGATCCGTTCGCAATCCAAATTTTGCAACCGCACGTTGCGTTTTGTTAGTCAGGTACATACATTAATTACTAACATAGATTAACCAGAGGAGCTCCTCTAATGATGGACATATCATAGGAATTAATTGAATGGTTGAGGGTAGAATCGATCGATAGTTGAAGTGAAGTGGAGAAAAAAAGTAGAGAACTATAATCCATTCATTTCCGTTTCATGTTTAATCCTTCGCACTTTCAGTACCGTATCCCATGGATATAATGCGTATTCGTTTAGATGGCATCCGGAATCCAATTGTCCCTCGTTAATTGCGATTATTATAAACTCGATTGGGACATTAAAGCGATTAATAGTCATTTCGGGATCACACGCAAACGCTTTTCAAATTTCCGCAACGTGCGTTATTGTATGTATATACGACCTGGAAAAGCCATTTCGAACTCAATTTTTAGTTACTCTACACTGCATAAACTATAATCACAGTTTACTAGAGAAAAAAATAAAACATATCGACCTGAAGAATTACCAAATCACTAAAAGAAATTCAATTTCCAATTAGTAGTATCTAAAATATGGTTTCTTTGTAAAATGAAATGAATCCAGGTAATATTGATTATTCAAATTATAGCTAAATCAATAGGAAATAAAATATTTATAGTAAGGTAATTCCATCAATCAAGGTTATCATGTATGATTGAAATATTAATCCTTTAAATATTATTATTATGAAATAAAATGTGAATATGAATATTTTGTTTATTATTTTTTTAAGTATAAGAAAATAAAATGTGATTAATTCATTTCTGTTTGTTGCGTGCAGTTTAAATTGTGTTCTGAATGTGGCGAAAACGTGCGTCCAATAAATAGTTAAATTAATTTTAGATCGGCAGCGTTTCGGGTCTAGGGTAGGCCACGGGTTTAATTGATTGTCCAACAAAGTTGGAGGACTAGGGGGGTGGGGTTTGGTATAGCAGTCGAACGAACGTCGCACGGCGACAGTTCTCCCTCCGGAACATACTTATTTCCATCCCTTGTTGTTGCAGTTGTACCGGTGGTGGTAGTAGTAGTAGTTCAAGGGATTGCAACCTGCAAAATCCATTACCCGCACACCGTATAACGCGCGTCACTTTGCTATTATTAGGCGAGTATTAATTTACACTGAATATTAACTGCGCCATAATGCGCAAAAAGGGTAAGTAAATGTGCCCTAAATCCAAGAAGATTACGCTCACACATATACATACATGGCGTTCTCCGAGAGCCGAATAATTACGCGAGATAAACCTCTGGGTGCATTTTAAATTAATTACAACTTACTCTCCGTATGTAACTATTTGCTTTTCACTCACCTATACCACTTATCTCTTTCATGGTAAATAGTTCAAAGCTATACCTGTTTACTATTTTCGTTTATTTTTCTTTCATCTCCCGTTCCCAAACTTCAGAAATAGATGCTGCATCTTAGGGAGTACCTAATTATATGATAAGTAACTTTTTTTTCGAGATGCATCTCCTAGTTGGTCCTTGCGAAGGGCACTGCGTAATCGGTCATCTGATCTCTTCGAGGGTTTCGTTTCGTCCGGTCGGTTCGTTCGATGATCGTTTTCCGGAACGAACGAGAGTCTGTCCGTGCGCGAAATTTGTGTGAATTTATATTCGACTCGGATCCACCTATTCCGTGTTATATAATCTCAATAGCCGCACCGCACCGCCTGCGAGAGGCTCGGCGGTCAACACACAACATCTGCCAAACCAAAACCAACCCCCTCTCCCCCTCCAAAATCCCAATTCATGGATGAATGCGAACAGATTTTCGGTTCATCGAACCACCCACGTTCGTCACAACACAACATCCGCATGGGCCGCACCTACCTGACAATACCATCATGGGTACGACCATGATGGAAAAATGATCCTTAAAAGCTCCTCTCCATATACAATTCTGCTATACATTACGGCTACTTGATAGCCCAGATTTAGCACGGCAGTTAATTTCCATAACTCAGGCCCCACCGGCCGCACACACACACTACCAACCAACCACCCACACTCTCCAAGTGTAACCACAAAGCCGGCTGCTATTCATTAACATCCTCCATCTAAATCTGCCCGACTTGCTTTCCTGCTCCTAGGATCTTCGCACATCTTATCTATTATGTATATATATTACAGCAATAGCAAACGTATACATTAAGCAAATTCACTTAACAAAAATATCAATATTTATTATCTAATTATTTTACTTATTTTTTTGTTTTCCAGAGATTGTCGAGTGGTGAGGGATCCGCAAACACTCAAATCCAAGGGATACGGCTTCGTCTCTTACGTGAAAAAAACGGTGAGTGTTTTCTTCCTGCAGTTGTTGTTGTTTCTTTTTTATTTTGGAACATAATTACTGCTCATCCACCGTCTTTTAATAAACGCAACGTTCTGCCTTCAGCGACGCTTTAATTTTGTGTCCCTCATTAACCCAGAAAATGTGAAATATAATCGACGTTGAAATCGGGTAACCGGCGCATCCACCTAGCAGATTTTGAGCACTTTCATTAATTATTAAATTTTTATTTTGAACTTTTTCTACCTAAAACAACTTATTATTTATTATTTTATATAAATAGAAGGAATTGTAAAAATGTTTCGAAATTGTGATTTTATTTTTAATTGATTATTGGATTGTATATATAAAATGTTGGTTGAAAAGTAGTTTATTGCTTCAGGGAAAATAGGAGCCACAAGGGGTGTCGTGTCGAAAAAATCGTTCCAATTGTCAACCGATAACCTTTTCGCGTGAATATCGCCTTCCAATGGTGTTCAATTCGTTTTTATAGCCCCGCTACGTGCGCATAAAATTCCCCAGTATTAAAGTTACGAAACAAAGAAAACACGAAACGCGTTTTCGTTTCTTGCATAGAATGGTTTGACAGGAAAATAATAGTAGTAGAAAATCTGATCTGATCAACTCTAGCAGAGAATAATGAAGACTAAACACTACACAACGATAGGAAACAAATAGTATTACTCCTATTACAACTCTGATCCTCTTATTCCGCATTGCATTCGTCAGGAATGGATGGAACTGTTGCAATATAATATAAAGGAACGAGTCCCAATCTCGCTACGGGTTTTTGGGTATTCTTGTCCTTGTTTCCGGTCCCTTTGTTTCATATGCCTGCACTTGAGTTATCCGAACTCGCATACCTTTATTGAGGGCGCTCGTTTCAGGAAGTTGCGGCGTCTCGCAACAAGTAAATGTCCTAGACCCAGAATTAAATACCATTCGAATATTTAGGGAGTGACCCTTTCCCGTCCAAGGGACTGGTTATTTACATTTATGGTATTTCCACCCGCCCCAAGCAGAAACCACGCTCAGGCAAATAATGGAAAAAATGTGATTTAGTTAAGTAATTGTTTTTTTTTTGTTGTTGTTTTCTTCCCCCTTGCTTTCGTCCTCCGGGGCATTACCGGTAAATACGCGCATAATCTAAATGAAAATTAAATTGGCTATTTATGTACTTTTTTTTACCTTCGTTGAGTGCATCCGTTGTATTACCACGAGGATTGATCGGGGAGTTTCTGAAACGAAGCAGAAAATATTAATTTTTCAGCCAAATACGTTTAGTATATAGACCTTTTCAAGACTTTTCAACGAAATAACAATTTTATGAAAAATTCAAACATTTAATGAATTTTTTTTTAAATCTAATTATCTATATAAACTATTCTTTGTGTTCGAATCTTTTGGATTATATTTAAACTTAATACATTCAAATTTCAATATTTCCAACTTGAAAGACAATTATCTGAAAATGAATTGAAAACAACTGTTTTTTAAGTTTTTATAATTTTTTTTAAATATAATTAAAACAATAATATTAATATTTAGACATAATAAAACTGTATATTTGAATTTAAAAGAATTAACTTTATCTTTTGATAACATATCCATTAAATTGTTGTAATATGTCAAGTATTTAATGAATGTGGAGAAAGCTTTGTCCAAATTGACTACCAGTCGCTAGACGCATGCTTTTATGGTATGAGTTGAATATTTCAGTAGATAATAAGCAAAGAGGAGTGCCTGATAATTAATAAAACAGACAAGGAAGCAAAACAATTCGTACTGCAGTAATGGAATGAACAAAAAGTTGTATAACGCTGCCGGAGTAAGCCGCTCTTTAGTATTCCCTTTAACGTTTTGCGGTTGAAACAAGGCAAGTCACTCGGCTAAGGGTTGACGCTGAGCTCGAGGCTATATAAGGGCCACACATACAAGGATGTACGCATACTGCCGCAGGCATAATCTGCGCCCAACCCAACCCCAGACCCAGGGAACCTATAAACGGGGATAGGGTGATGGTAATTAGTGAGATGTAAAGCCGACGGTCAAACTTCGGCATACTTACTAAATACTAATTAGCCGTTAGAAATCAGTCGCACGCATCGTCTATAGAAAGTTCACTGCAATTCTACTGCGAAATTCCATAGTAGCCAATTACTTGACCGAACTGTAGTTATAGTACGCAAACATCGTATTGCATGCAAATACACGCGCCACCGTTTTAATAGTATTCAAGTTCGCTCGCGCAACTATTTCATCTTTGAGAAACGATCGACCATGCGAAATTCACTTACTTCCATCGATTCCATAGTTCCGATTTCAACAATTACTATATTTAACATAAACATTTAACATCAATAAAGAACTCAAAAGAGCATCGTTTCAAAGAAATCAAATAACTTTGAGTTGCAATTAGCAATTCGAAGAAATCTGCGTTTAAATGTTCCCGCCACTCGAGATGCAAAGTGGAAATCGCAATCTATCCTATTTTCTCGTACGTCCAGTCGAAAGGCTGTATTGCGAGCAACTGCGACTCTCCAACGAGATGACCGGCAATTCTAACGAAACGAGAAATGTAAACCCAGCTATTTTCACTGTATTTTCCCGCAGCGTAAAGCCTTTATACCGAACGATATAAGATGGTGGCATTCTGCAGTGCCGTCTCTTTTCGGTTGTTTTTTCGACTTAATTGACGTGAAACTCCGGAACCGGGGGAAAATTGGTTTTTCTTTATTTTCTTTTTGTTTTGGAGGCGGCAACCACCAATCGTCATATTCCAGATGGGTGGCGGCAAATTTAATTAAGACCTGCTGACCGTTTCGTCGCGCTTAGGCAATACTCTTAAGTGCATTAACGCATTCCTTCAACTTGAGTATATTTTACAAATTATTCTATTTTTATTCATTAACAAATTAAATTTACTTATTTATAATTAATTACATAATAATTATATATTATTATACTTTCTTGAATGCATTTCTTAACTAATTACTTGAACGCATATCCGAGAAGCGAGGAATTTCTTTGGAGCGAAAAATCATCATCGTCGGATGTGTATTTATACGAACGCGTTTCACGGCTCCTGAAAACCGTTTCTCCCCAGCATCCTGCAAGCAATTAACTCAGGGCATAGTCGAAGCGCCGAAGATTCCCAACGCTCCCAGAAGAACCGAAACCGTTCCAGCTCAAGATCCTGTAGGATTTTATTTTCTATTTATTTCTTCTATTTTTATTCTTATTTAACGAGAAACGAGCTTCCCGCCCTTTCACGAATGCATATCGCTCCAAAGTTCCTGTTTCCTGTTTGTTCTTATCCCGAAAATAAATAATTGCATCCCCTCGCTTTTCGGTAACTGTACAGTTCCACAAACAGTTTACGTGCCGCAGCTATCTCCAATTCATGAAGGGTAGTATCTCTCAGCTACAATAATTTATTTATCAATTATTATATCACTGTGCCATCTCTCTCTCGCTCTCTCTCTCTCTTGCACTCTCGAAAACCTCAAACAGTCTCTTCACTCCGACACATTACACTATCCATTATATAATTATCATTATGGTTGATTAATTGTAATGCGGCAAGAGTAATCTATGCACGTATAGCGTACATGCCATGCTGGGGTAAAGGGCTTTCGTTACATAATCGATTAATGCGCGTCGACCCACCCCTCGGCGTGGTGAGCGGAAGGACCGTAAGCGAAACTTATGCTCACTTTACGGGCCGAAGACAAAGCACGTATAATGATCATGCGACACTATCTTATATGAATTGTAGATGAAAACCTCTCCTTCAAATACAAACTGCATCTAGGATCGAAACAGCTAATGGAAAAAAATTATTAGCGAATGAGAGAATCGTTGTTTTCGTGCAACCAACGAAGGAATTTGCTGGGTAATGTTAATTTCCCTATTTGCTGTGTATCCTTCGAACAAGGCGAATTCATATTGAATCAATAGTGCTGCAATCACAATAAACTCCAACAAAACCCTGCTTGAAGTTTAGAAACCGTAAAATGCGAGCGAGTGCTTTGATTGCCATAAAAATGATGTTAAATTGCTTTGCTTCATCAATTGCATTATTCCTCTGACGTACATAGTAGAAATTTAGTTTCTATACAAATTTTTATAAATTTATCAAAAAAAGTTAATTACTTTCAGTTTAAAGTAGATTTCTTAACATAATATTGTTTCCACACCATTTTCACACATTTATCAATAATATTGAATACATTTAATAGATCAATTCTAATATGTCAATCTTGGTAAATAATCCGATGAATTTTTAGTTTCTTTATTGATTTTAATAGCGAGTTTCGTTACTTAAAAATAGTTTAAATAAACATAGGGAAAATTTATATTTATTGTAAGTAAATAGAAATAAAATAAAGAACTGAATAAACAAGAAACAAATAAATAAACAAACAGAGACGCTTAAAGTTTCGAACACGTTCAACGAAATTCATTTCCAATTAGGTACGGAAATAAAATCGGGGAATGTTATTGAGACACGACATTCCACAATAAAAGTTTTATGCTCGAGCCGCAGTGCGCGTCGTGCTGCGATGCAGTGAAAGCTACTTACTGTCTATGACCTGTAAATCTCCAGCAGTTTTCAGAGCCTAATGCTTTTCCCCCCTTACCATTCATTTACAACAACAATAACAAGCAAACAAAAAAAAAGAGAGTTACGTTACTCGAGGGGATGGTAACATCATCAACCATTACGCGAGGGGACCAATGCGTAGGTTGGATGAGCGTAGTTAATTGTGCGTGTGCATCCCTTTGTTCTTTTTTTTTCTTTTTCATGTTTCATGCTATATTCTTGTACTCTTAATTCCAGGACGCCGAGAGCGCTATTGCCGCCATGAATGGACAATGGTTGGGGAACCGCAGCATTCGCACCAACTGGGCTACAAGGAAACCTCCAGCTCCGAAACCAGAAGGTATTTAAACAATTCTTTCTGTTTAAAAAAAACAATTATCAAATACTCAGTTTATCAGAAAGTTATATCAACTTGACATTGTGTGCATCAGAGCAGATAAGTTTCGATTATTCTTTACCTGAATACGTAAAGCGAACTGGAGTAAAACAAAAAGGGGGAAAAAATATCAGATGGAAACTGGATGTTCCTTGCAGGCATATGATACAAAAGTAAGTCCTGACAGGCCCAGAATTGCTGTTTGATTGGGTCAACTTCCGTATATGTTTAAGCCCCGCAGGGAGAGTAGCATTTAACTGCTTTCTTTTTGCTTCCTTTACAAAGTGGTTTTACATGTTCGATCAAAAACAAACATATACTTTCTTAATATGAAACTCATAATACAAAAAAAATCGACACAGTGTTTACAAATAATAATTAAATTAATAAGTTGGTATAAACTTATATTATTATTACAGACTATACTTTCTAGAAAATGTTTATTACATCCCATGTTTTGGCTACACATAGTATGTTTGGGAAACATAGCCGGAGAAGTGTCCCCAACTCATAAACATAACGCAGCTTAGAATGTTTATCTCCAGCCACAGCCTCTTCATTATACCCAAAATGTATATATTTACATATTACGATCGTGCAAATATTTGCCTCGTATCATCAAAAACTGGTGTCAAATAAACATGACCATTACATTTGCATTGAATTGGAGAATCCAGTAAATATTAATAATTTTAATATATGTTAATAAAGATTAGTAATAGTTATAACGTTTAATGTGGATGCATTAAATTTTGAATTAAGTTTACTCAAAACAAAGTAAGATTTGATTAGAGTAGGGTGATTTTAGTTCAGAGATTGAATGCATAATGGGTTGGTGTTGGAGTTTAAGGGTAGCATTATCCCTTTCTGTCTTCTTTCTCCCTGCAACCTTTGTATTGGGGTAAACGAGGTTTTACAGCCGACACGTGTCAGGATGAGGGTAAGCAGGGCCGTACCTAGCGATTGGAGCTGGACGAAGTGTATTATGCCGCAAAGCAATAAGAGAGCAATTCGTGTGAATTCTACCGCGGGTCTGTTGCTCTAATTCACAAGCAACAAAAAGAATGTAGTAATTTATGCACAATTGCTGTTCCAAAAGCTGTCAGGTGATTGAAATTTATCGTCACGAGACGATTAAAAAAACCACTGCTAAAGGAATAGATGGTTCCTTAGGCTCTGAACTTTGAGTTTCCCTTCCTCATTCTTCTTACGTCTTCTTTCCGTTCCGATTGCTTCGTGTTAGACTGAAATTGGCCAACGGCCACAGTGGTGGGAGGGTGGCCGGAACCGGAAACATCTGCAATGCGTATGCGTGTGTGCACATTCATCGTATAATTTTCGGGTCTCGCGTTTTATTATCTTCTTGGGGTCGAGGCGTTAGATGTTATTTTTGCGGGGGAGGGTGGCGGCAAGGGTTGGGGTGCGGTCGGAACGCTTGCCGCCTCCTCCACCTCCGCCGACGCGTCGCCATGTGTGCTGCGTGACTCGGCCTCGGCTTTTGTCACGACAAAACCAAACACGCGACTAAATGCTCATTTCAAGTCGTAATCGTGATGCAAAAAAAAGAAAAGAAAAGAAAATAGTGTACGAAACGGCGGCGCACTGCGCCCCTCTTGGAAGCCTTCGTTATTCTTTCCAATTGGAGACAGGATGAAGGATTTAAGAACACATCGAGCAGGCAACTTTCCAAATAGGATCCTTCCTTGCACCGATGAATTCATTTCGGAAACGTAATCCACACCAATATTTCATACTTCCTTAAAGGTTTACCACATGTAGAGTAATGAAGTACTAAAATATTAATCTAATACTTTATCCGCACTACACCTGACATTAAACATTTTTAATTAATTTTTTGATGACACTGAATTAAAATTATTATTAATTATTATGCCTTCCTTAAAGGTTTACCGGTAATAAAGGTTGTCCTAAAAGGTCCTTAAAGGTTGAAAAAAAATAATTTTCACAAATATTCAGCAATAATTAATTGACTTAGAGGATTTCAATTGATGTACCTGACTTAGTAATACAATTATGAGTTCACTTTCCATTGCGACCACAATATTGAGTTTGAATGCAATACTAGGCTTGTTAAACTATCAAGTTTTTCCTTGTCTCAATTAACTTGCATTGTGGTTGGCTTAGTTAGTTGTCGGTGCGGCCATCGGCGGCGAATATTGTATCAATTAATCGCATAATGGCTCCATTACATTGCGATGAACAATTATCGTATCGAGTAATTATGTGAGATAATTAAGAAGCGGGGCCAGCATAATTCGGTTGCACGCGCGGTGGCGGCAGCAGTGGGGTGTAGGCGGCAATGCGGTCGGCCCCTTGGCCGATTCCCGACATTCGGCCGTTCATTTTAATGCCCCAATTGCAGTTCGAAGATATCGTTTTACGCCGCCACCACCCACGGCCATTTTACTGTCCTAAATGTGAAGTTCCGGTTAAAGGTCTGATTTAGATAATTGATCCTCCAAAACATCAATCGTAAGTCCACATTATGCACCAAATAAAAACTAAAGACTATTATTTAATTTTTATAATTTAATGCATTATAAAATAACAATTTTAAATTAATTTTTTGTTGTTGAGAATTCTACCAGGACTGTATATTTACATACAGTTTGACTGAAAATTGAAAATGTCCTTCTATGTAAATATTTGCATCGTTGTTTAAATATTAAATATTATTATCAACAGGTATTACTAAATATTGATTGATTGTATACAATCGCAGTTAATGCGCTACATTGCATTCTATTCCATATAGTTATGGTGTTTTCGATCCTAAAATGCACGCCGACTGCGAATTGGTTGAGCTTACAATACTGAAGCAACACTATGATCAACAGGCTACCGAAGCTTTGTGAACTTTTTGTATTATTCATTGGGAATCGGTCGAATTAAAAGCGTTCGGAAATTATGAATCGATTATATTTCAGGTAATATGAAACCGCTCACCTTCGACGAAGTCTACAACCAGAGCAGCCCTGGTAACTGCACTGTCTATTGCGGTGGCATCACCAACGGCTTGAACGAAGATCTGATGCATAAAACCTTCAACCCTTTCGGATCCATCCATGAGGTCCGGGTCTTCAAGGAGAAAGGATACGCATTCGTTAGGTAAATAATGAGATTATTTTAGATAACATTAGGAGTTGGTTTTTAACGTTCTGTATTTTAGGTTCACCACAAAGGAGGCTGCAACCCATGCTATTGTAGCTGTTCACAATACAGATGTGAATGGGCACGTTGTCAAATGTTCATGGGGTAAAGAGAGCGGTGATCCCAATAACACCCCGGCCACCGGGCAGGTAATATTTCTGAATTTATCCTTTTTCTTATATTTGGTACAATACTATTTGTTTCTAGACTTTGACAAGCGCGCAGTACCCTTACGGTGCTTACAGCCAGCAGTTGGGTTATTGGTACCCTCAGAGTTTCCCAACAACTGCAGCGGCCGCTCAAATGCAAGGTCAATTCTTGCAGGGTATGCAAGGTTACACGTATGGACAGTTTGCAGGATACCAGCAGTCGTACATGGGGTAAGATGGTTAAAGGTAATATTGTTTTCATGCAGGTGGTAATGCAATTGTTTTTACTGGTTTTAGCAGGATGGGTATGCAAGTGCCCACCACCTGGCAGGGAATCCCGGGACAACCTCAGATACCCACAACTCCGCAGCAGATGGCTGCGCCGGGGGCCGCAGCCCTTCAGCAACCTGGACTCGTGTTTCCCATTCAACAGTATCAAGTAAGTTGAACGTAGTCACCGAAACCATTCCGCATCCCCGACGGCATGCAAATCCTTTCCTATCTGCCTTATATTTGTTGGGTGAACGGCTGCTGCGAATGGGCTCCATCTCTTCACTCTTTATTCTTATTCTTACAAACGTATTTGTTACTACTTCAACTGCACGATTATTTCTAGTTATATATTTTTTTTGGATTAGGTTTTGAAATCTTAGGATTCGGTTCGAATCGTTAGTATACCGGGATTGCCTGCATATAAATCTACCGACAATACAAAACTCATATAGTTTTACTTTTGATTAACATTGACTAGGACTAATCAGCATGCGTTTACGATAGTATCAGCTTACTGAACCATCGGTCACGGCATCACCGCGTCTAAAATGAGCTTTCTTCTCTTCTTTCAGGCTCAATAATGATACACATATTAGTCATCAACGTGAATAGTGATATTTATTCAAATTCTAACCTCCGATTAACATACATATAAATATATATATATTTCTATACGTGTATATGTATATATATTTAAATATATGTATCGCGGCATTTGTAAAGATAACCAACTTTGTGCCAAAATTTTGAACCCTTAACACAAAAGTAAATTCAAGTATAATATATTACACACATTCACACAAGAACATTGAAGTCCGACCATTTTAGAGAACCACCGCATTGCATCATTGTGTCCGGGGGGTAGGGTTTTCTCTATGTTCGAGTGAATGCTGAGAGGGTGTAGAACCTGCACACTGCACGTGACTGGCCTAAAAGAGGTACATGTCATTTAGGCCAGATCACGGTTCAGACCCGTGAGCTCTCACCGGTTTGTGTATGAGTGAGTGAGTTCCGCGTATATCCTGATGACGCAAATCATCTGTTGGCAGCTAGCAGACGAGGAATGGTTAGCACCCTTAGTGTAAACTGGTAACACCGGTTTTAAGGGTTTTTGCAAACAAAAATGGTATCAAAACAAAAAATATAAAAGCAAATCGGTCGACGATGGGCGCCCTTCGGAGATACTATTCCCCCTATCTGTGCTCTGTATCTCTGCTGCTCTACAACCATCGTTCTTCGCAACATCATACTTCTACTCGGCAATTCGGACAAACGGACTGCACTCCGGAGACCTTCAAGACATCGTCGACCTGCACACTTCGTCCGCTTCCATTCGACTCTCGAACGACCACTACCTATGCCACCATCTCCCATTTTCCTCCTCCGCTCCTCTCAGTTACTTTTTCTTTATTCTTTAACTATCAAAGCTATATATATCATTTCATTTTTGTTGTTACTTTTGATACACGAATATGATTTTGAACATGTCAGGCGTGCTCTAGCTCCTAAGTGTTTATATATGTAAAAATTATGGCCCCCCAAAGCCGTACTGTTATACTATGTTACATTTATTTCTGTTCCATTGCGTTAACCTTTCCGTTTTTCTTTTTCATTTACAATTGTACAAAAATATACGTAGGTTAGGTTAGGTTAGGTTAGGTAATAATATTTAATAATTTCTAAGGATAATGATGATAACGATATTATAAATATATATATGAATACAATTAAAAACAAAAATCATTTTTCGACGACAATGATGACGGCATAATTAATTGTACAACGATTCGGTTGTTGGTGGTCCACTCACGACTTGCACTGTGCATACATATATACATGTGCACGTTGAAGCGAGGAGCGTGTGTATACGTATACACTTCTGCATGTGTCGGTAGGTAGGAAATGTAGCCAGATGGTATATAAATATTAGTCGTCTCTATGAATTTTGCAACGTTTGGTGGAGCCTTCGGGAAGGTGGAAAGTCAACATTTAGGAAAGCGATTTGCTCACAGCACAGTATCCACCCTCTGGTAACGTTAAATTTACTCCTGCGTCCAGAATACAGCATCACATGTGTCCTGTGCAATGCAAGCCGAATATAAATAATGTAATATTAATGTAAATATACAGTGTAAAGGGGTATCGCGATATTTGCAGTATTGTGACGCCCGAGTATGCACCTGGCATCTAGGAGAATGCTGTGCCGTGTAGTAATCATCACATTATATAATATATATACTTATACAACATATATATATAAAAGGATAACACAATATTTCATGATTTAAACTCAACTTTTATTTTATTTAAGTTTTTCTGAAGGCTCTGATAACAATCATAGAACAGGAAATGAAAATTTAAAACTAGATGATAACAAGTAGATGTACATTCTTGTTGTTGTTCTAACATATTGGCCTTCATGTACATTCATTAAATAATGTTTACCTGTTCGGTTCGTTCATTGCGTATTCGTTTGTAAATAACAGTTAAATTTATGTATCGTTTGTTAATTATCGATTAAAGAACACAAAAATCGAAGAAGAGATATTCAACGCGCAAATTGTTTCCATTTGCATTTTACTTATGCGGCCAACTGTTGACATTTTTCTATGTTTCGCAACAAAAAAAAAACTTCAACTTGACTTGTTTCGTTCTGTGTAAAGGATTTAATTGTTGTTTTGTTACTACTGGTTTATTTTAACTAAATTTTAAGGAATTTCCAGTGTCCGAAGAAAAAAAAATTGAATAAATAAATATATATATAATAAATTAAATAAATAATAATCATACAATTATATACATGTATGTATATATAAGTATATATATACACACCCCACTGCTTTGTGCAATGCATATTATTATTAAATGATGTAGAACATAAATTTAGTAATTGTTGTTGATGTGATTCACCCGTGATTGTCGACCTCAGGCTACAAACGCATCTTAAGTCTATGTCAGTTAATATTCATTTAATTAATTTTTCATAAATTGATAAAAATAAAATTGTTTTATTTAGTGTATAGGCAGATATTGAAGTCGAATGAAAGGTGAGGCAAATGTAGATCAGCAAATTTTATTACTTCTTTCGGTTCAATTTGTTTAATGCAAGAAAACAAAAAAAGAAAAAAACAAAACAAAAATAAGAGTATTATCTGTGATAAAATATATGCTATTTGGATTATTAATTTGAACTTGTGTACATTCAATTTGCTATACACTTAAGCTGAAAGTTTGATTTTGCAAAAGCACAAAGTAGTATCAATGATACTACGCTAGATCTTTGCTACCGTGTCATAACTATGTGTATCATATACAGGAAATTTGGAAAAAAATAATCTCTCGAAATATCATACTCTGTGATAGTCGTCTCTCCTTCGCGAACATCTTTGTTGAATAATAATTAACCTTGGTTTAGTTTTTTTTTTCCGAACGGTATGAAAATGGTAAAAGAAGATGAAGATATCTGCAGTTAGGCACCTCCAAACGGTGCTCAAATTTATCAAACACAAACACACACACACACACAATTACTTTCATTGATATTTATGGAATAAGGTTTTTAGCTTTGGCACCGATTGTAAAAAAGAAAATATATGATATATAATGATATATATATAATATGATGTAATTAGTATGTAAGTAATTAAGTTTAGGTATAAGCGATCGTGAAGATCGCAGACATGTATATTGAGGGTGGTCATATAATGTGTATAAAAATTGTGTATCGAAAGTTATTCTGAATCCAAATGCAGAAGGGAAATAAATGAATGAATAAAAAAATATAATATTTAAAAACAAAACAAAACAACAAAAGAAAAATTATGAAATATACAAAAACTCAAAGTAAGTGAAGAAGCAAAACATTTCGAACAGATTCTAGATTATTATTGTAACAAATATATTATTATATTTATTATTATTGGTAGAGAAATGGAATTGAATAAAGACAGTTAATAAATATACATGATGAGTCAAATTATTTTCTTGGAATCAATTTCAGATTAATACAAGGTAAGTATTTCTTTTTTATACAAATTTTTCAATATATGAGTAAAAATCCGGAAATTTTGGAACGGATTAAACTGATTAAGCGAGATTTCACCGTATTCAAATAAGTATTTCTTCCATTTATATTATGGGAAATCAATCAAAGAAATCACAAAAATAAATTGTTTTCTAATATTTAGCAACAATTTTCCTATTTATATAATGGGAAAAGTCAATAATGTCAATTATTTTAAAGTTTGTTTTGAATGCAAATGTTTCACTTAATTGCTTTTTAAAGACCATTTTAATAAATATTTTATATCTATGTGTGTGTATTTAAATTGGAGTTGAACAGGTGAGTTTCTGATACATCACTCGCCAATTTCCCACACGGAGTTCTTCGTCCCCAGGGCGATTGCAATTAGTAACAACCCCTTGTATACATTACGCTAGTTCGAGATGCGTTACAATTTCCGCTCCATCAGATCTGTTTTTCCAGCGAGCGAATTTGCATGCGTTCTTCTTTTTGTTTGCCCCTAGTTGCGGAATATTTTTATTTAAAACTTGTTATTTCGGTTCATGCAGGTAAATTTTCCCCAATGTAAATGGCAGCTGTATAACATTTTACTAAATATTCATTTAAAATACAATCACTGTTCACTTAACGTACATACTTATATATTTCTATTATTCAAAAACTCATTTACAATGTCACTTTGTAGTAAATTCTATTTTCTGTTCTTTTTTTAATAATTTAGTTTTCTGTATGAACATTATTATTTTAATCAACGTAGTAAAACAGTTGGGGAGCACTGCTTTACGTAACAGAGAATCGACGTTTTTTTCTATATCTATGGCTTTTCTCTATATCTAATAAATTGACAAAATCTCTATGGGTTTTTAATAAATTACCTCAACTTTCTATGAAACAATAGTTACGTAATGTTCGTTACGTAAAAGAGAATCGACGTTTGAATTTCTCAACAACCCCTTAAGATAATTACATCATCGACCACTCAGCTGAAAGCTGAATGTCTCACCTTTCCAACGAGCCAACCGGCATCTTCTTTCTGCTACCGAGTCGCTTGCTACTAGCTGTAGAAATGGGGAAAAAAGTGAATAGGATTTCATATCCGACGAGTTTCCACGTTTTTTTCTTAAGTACATGAAAATTACGTAACTTCTGTTGCATTTCATGATTGCGTAAGATGGGCGCCACCCTTACGCAACAAAGTTCCGTAATGTTCGTTACGTAACAGGGAAAAGACGATTTTTTGTAATTTTTTTTCAGTATTTCGTGAATTTATCGACAACCCTTAAAGATAATTGCATCATCGACCACTCAATTGAAAGCTGAATACATCACCATTCAAACGAGCCTATTGGCATTTTCGAGCAGTCACCAAGTCGCCTCCTATGAGCTGTAGCAATTTGAAAAAAAGTGAATAGGATTTCCTTAAAACTCGTTTATTCTTAATTATATGAAAATTACGTAACTTTTGTTGCATTTCATGATTGCGTAAGATGGGCGCCAGCTTTACGCATTTTTTTATGAAACAAAAGTTATGTAATGTCCGTTACATAACACGGAAAATACAATTCTTGCCAAAAAAAAACAGTATTTCGTGAATTTCTCGACAACCCTTTAAGATAATTACATCATCGACCACTCAATTGAAAATATCTCACCTTTCCAACGAGCTAACTGGTATCTTCCTGCTGTCACCAAATCGCCTGCTATGATATGGTTTTTTTCATGAGAAACGACAAGTTTTCACGTTTATTCTTAATTGCACAAAACTTACGTAACTTTTGTTAAAAATAAATTTATCAAACTGGATTAGCACACCGTTGTTTATATGTTTATTAAGCAGTTACGATATTAACGTTATACATTTCTGTTTTTTTTTAATAAGCTATGGGGAAGCTCGTTCAGGTTATGGAATTTGTGCAACATTATCAATTTAATCATAGGTTTCGTCAATGTTCTGTGCGGTTTATATCGCTATTATATTTCAGGAAGGTATGAATTTTCGACGAATAGTTGCCGCATACCTACGCCCTATAATATACACCAGTACATCACAATTAATAGACTGGATTTGATCCTGGCGACAAACTAAGTTATAGATAATTGAGCACAAGCATGTGATCTGACGTAACGTCATGATATATTATACACAGGATAATCTTTAACATTTGCACATATCAGAAATTCATTTTACAACAAATTATATATTTTTATAACAAAACATTATTTTTTATTTTGCATAATATGAAATTGTCTCATCTTAATTTTTAAACGAATTATAATTTCATTACTTTCAAAATATATATTTCGCTCCTTTAGAGCGGTCAATGTTTTGATTAATAAAAATGTTTGAATAAAAATAAATCCTTTAAAAAAATAATTAGAATAAATTGAAAAATATCAATTACTAGTTGCACAAAACGTTATACGATTCGTTAAAAATGTATATTTCCACGATTTACGTAACATCATAATCACGTTACATAACTTATTCATTGCAGTATATTGCTGTTAAATCGTAAATAAAAATGGAATTGCTGCAATTGAATATAATCGACAACAAATAAATAAAAAAACAAAAAAGGAGACTGATCTTCAATGAA